GTCCGTATTGGGGCCGAAGCTCCCTCAAGACCACTAGGCCGTCCTCGCTTGGTTAGAACAACACATTAATATGCGCATAATCGCTAAAGTAATGATTGAGCAATACCTTTTTACCTAACGAACCTTTATAGATTTAGCTGATGATTAACACTTGTATCCTCTAGAAGAAAACCAATTATGATAGATCGGCACGTGTCACCCCTGCAACTTAGTGCACCTTCACATGACATGACTCTTCCCCAAAAGAGCAAAGGAAAAAACAAACAAGACATGGTCCCCAACTATAATGCAGGCAGCATTTTACCCATCTTTTGGACAAGACTTTTGGAGTGTGATGTGTATATGCTTGGTACGGCCGATTAAAAAACACAATAACTATTATATAACTATATCCTAAAACATATAATGATATAAACACTTTTAGTTTTGTCATGAATTCACATGTTTGCACCACCTATTCTGAAATGATTATGATGTTTATCAAAATGTTTGTAAGTTTTGCATTGATTAACCAGACGGAGTTTGGACCTAAATCTCAAAAACAAAATTCTCATCAAGACATGAATTAGGAGTACAACAGGACCAATCTATGCGTTTAAACACTAGCCTACAAAACAATGTTGGGGGTATGTATATATTTCTTATAAAAAATCTAGAAGATCGATCATCTGGCATCTTGAACTGAATTTTGGGGATTATAAATATTTTTAACAACATTCATAATTGGAAGACTTATGTTTATATAAAAGATCTTTAAAAATTTTGTAGGTCAATGCCAATGTTTTATAAGGATATAAAGACATAAAAAATCTTCAGAAATTTTGTAAGTCAATATTAATATTTCATAGGGATGTGACCAGATCCTGCCGTCATGCTCATGACCGTCATTTATTTGTTTCATAGTGTTTGCACTATCAAAGATCCTGTGTTTGTTGTTGCAAGATTTGTGAAATTGTCTATAGTCTTTGGTAAGAAAATAAGACTCGTTTGTTGATGTTTCTATGGTCTAACAAAAGAAAGTAACTTAATTACCCTGAATTATTATTATTGAGTTACAATAAAAAGAAGCTTCTCATCCTAGTACATCACTTCTCTTCAGCGTTCTCATGTTTTGTGTTTGTTTTGGGTGTAAGAACAAATACAATAACTTCGGAGTTCGAACCATAACATGAACTTTACTTCTCCCTTTTCCTCCAACCAAAAAAAAGGTTCCAATTTACAAAAACCCTTTTGTCCATCAGCCACCAAAGTTATCTTCTCTACTTCGCTATGTTCGACTCTCACCAAAGACCGAACCGATACTGCTTCTATGCACAAATCCCTGCCTGGCACCCCACAAGCGCATACTTCGGCTTCTAGCTTCACGCACAAGAGCATCTACATCTTTCCCGAGCCTCTTCCAGCTCCTGACCAGATGTTCAGTTTTTGATAAAGAAGAGATCCAAAGATTCAAGAGAGAGTAGTGTGCAAATATACATGTAAGAACGTTACCTTGACTTGTTCTTGGAGGTCCTTGATGTACTGAACCGCAAGATCCAACATATCTGCTGTGTTTGTTTGCTGCATATTAATTCAAGATTATAAATACATTTAGAGTAAAGAATGTGAAAACGAGAAAAATGAGAAGAGGAAGATCTATCTTCACCGTGTCCATGTTTGGAACAAGGTCTTGCAGCTTCCTCATTCTTTCACTAATCTTTGTTCTTCTCACCTGTTCCACAAAACATATAGATAATCTTAAAATCATGTAACTAAATGTCACTGCGCATAAACAGTAAGGGAAAGATATTACTCTCTCAGCAATGCTCCTAGGATGAGTGGCGCAGCCACGCTTGGCTCTAATCTTACAAGGGATAGAATCTGAGAGCAACTGTTCAATGTCTGATAAAGACTTGGGCAAACTCATGTGATGCGCTAAAGGAGGACGTCTACTAGCTGATGAATCTTCATCCTGTTATATCCATTTCATCACCAAATCAAGAACAGAAACAGAAACATAGACAGAACTAGGGCCTGTCCTGGGCAAAATGCTAAATGAAACATTCGCCTCTAGACTATAATTATTTTCTAAATTTGTAAAAAAAAATATTTTATTGAAATCTTTAATACAGCCCCATAATCCTAGACCCCAAAACCTGGACAGAGCATAACTCATTATGAGCAACATACCTTGGTTTTGTACTGATCTAGACCACCAGACTGTGTCCTTGCGATAAGCTTAGAGGAAGCAGCGCCTTCATTACCAAAGGAACGATTAAACCCACCAGAGAGTGTTCGAGGAGGCAACCTCGAGGAGAAACTAGGTTTGACATCATCAATCTCAGGGATCGTACTCATGGAAGGAGGAGGAAGCTTGCTTCTAGGAGTAAGTGACGAAGCTTCAGTATTCATCACATTACCTCCTCCACCAAACCCTCCCATGTTTTTCATTACAGCTGCATATGCTGTCATTCCGACAAAACAACAACAACAACAGATATATGCTTATAGATTCTAAAAAAAAAAGACTTCAAGTTTGAATACTTTCCACTTCCAGAAAAAGTTTCCTAATAAGGAAATAACTTTTAAAATATTAAAAAAGGAAATATTTTTTACACGAACCTGTTTCCACGTCTATGGAGGAGAATAATCCGGCGGGTGAGCTGTTATGCCGAGCGAGATTATTCGCCGGAGTCCGATCATCTCTCTCCCGTGGTCTCTTGTTCCGACCTAAGTTCTGCACGACCGAAGCATACCCGACAGGTTCTTGACTCACCTCAACTTCACCACCACCGACAACGACCTCCATCTCCGTCGTCTCCTCCTCTGTCTTCACCTCCGGAGGCTTCTTCTCCGTCTCGGAGAAAGTATGGTGGAGGAAGCTATCAACGTTGTTGCTTGTGTCGGTGGTTTGCAAGAAGCCAGACAAGATCCTCTCTGTTTCAGGACTTGTCGGTCGATCCAAGAACTCTTCTATGGATTCACCGAAGTTGGAGAAGTACGAGCTAGGAGCTGACTGGTACCGAACTAAACCGGAGGTTCTTGGTGGTCTCTGGTGCTGGTGATCGTGAAGAAGGAAGTGGTGTTGCTGAAACTCTGACTCCATCTTAGTAGATTTAGAGTTCTTCTCTTCCTTTGTAATTTTCTCTGTTAAAAGGATAACAACCGGATGTTATCGCCGGGAGAGTTTTCCCGGCGAGAGATCTCTGAGATAATGATAATAAATATAAAATGAAACAGAGAGAGGTAAAAAGAGAACGTGAGGGAAGCTTATGTGAGAGAGAGAGAGAGGTGAGGAAGAAACAACAGAGGGCAGGTAGAGATTGGGATTTATTTACGTTTGGACAAAAGTGCCCTTTGTGCTGTCTGCTTATTACGAGTGCTAACCGATGATGCTGACACGTATGGGTCATGTGGGGACCGCCCTTTTAATTGTTTGTGTATTATTTTCATACAATTATTATCACAGTACAAGTTAATTTTCTTCCTTGGAACAATTTTTTTTTCCTTTCACTGTAGAACCGAGCTCAATTCATTTAACTGGTAAATTTTTAGTGTTCTCATGAATGGCTTCTACATGATTCTATTCATAAAACTTGCATTTCAGTTACAACCTTAATAAATTAAACAATCTCAGTATATATTTAATTTACTAAATTAAGAAATGAAATGCGTATAAATCGGATTAGGTACTCCACTATGTACACTAGGCCTGGGAAAAAACCGGAACCGAAAAACCAAATCGGAACCGAACCGAAATACCGAAACCGAAACCGGGTCGAAATTTTTAAATATCCGAATGGTTCCTATATTTCTATACCCAAAAAATCGAACCGAAGCCGGAACCGAACCGAGAACCGAACGGGTACCTGAATATCCGATAAAATAAGTTAATTTTTTTAAAAATAAGATAAAATGACATCAAACACACTTGAACCCAGGTTAAATACAAAGAGTAAGTAAATTTACCGCCAGACCATGTTATGTTTTATTTATTCTATTATATTATAAATTTATATGGTATTTCTATATTAAAATATGATAAGTATTTATAAAATTAACACTTTATTGATTCAAACTCTTGCTGGATTGACAAATATGTAAGCGTGTAAACACTAGACCATTTTAATTAACATACTAACTAATATATTCTGTATATATATTTGATTTATATATTAAATGGGTACCCGGAACCGAACCGAAACCGAATTGGAACCGAACCGAAACCGAACCGAAATCTCCTAAGTACCTATTGGATATAAGAATGATTTATCCGATATACCCGGAACCGAATGGTTCCTATCCGGAACCGAACCGAATATCCGAATGCCCATGCCTAATGTAGAGTCTCGTTTAGTGATATGCTTCATACGGCTGCTATCTCAAATTTTGTGAGTTGTGTATTATGCTTTGACCAATAAAAATAATTTAGTGGTAAAGTTACAAAATAGATTTTCAGTTTTCTAGATTATTTTTATCTCTCCTTCTGAAAATGTGTAGATGATTCATTAATTAAGATAGCAAAAAAAATTCATAAAAACTTATATTATATTGGTTGTTTTGTTTCGGTCTAATTTTCCTAAGCCACTTTAGTTTTGAATAAAAAAATCCATTTGAAGAAAAAATAATATTTTGTAAAAAAACATTAACGGTAAGAGACTTGCATTCGTTTTTCTAAACTATTGTAACTATATTATATAATTTTCTCTTATTTAAAAATTTTCATTAAAATATATGAGTTATACCATAATTTTTCTTTTATTTCTTCTACTAAGCTCTAAATTGCATCTTGCTTGATATAAATATGTAATTATTATATTATAATTAAACTAGCGTGTACATATAAATCAAAACAATTATTATTATTTATTTGTATTTAAAAATTCAAACAGTCACTTTTATCTATTTTATATGAGATATAACTAAATTTAAATGATATTAACATAGATATATAGTACATTTTTTATATGACGATTTATTAAATGAAGTTTCCTATTCATAGCTTTATAGTCATTGTATTTTTTTATAACAAAAGTTAAACCATTTGTAATAAATTTTCAGTAGGAACTTTTTAATAGTATTATTAATTTAGTATCATTTTAAAAACTCAAAATATACTATATACGGAAAATTAATTTTTATTATATTATTAAAGTGATTTTTTATTTATTTTAATATTATAAAATCTAAAGAATGAAAGAGAACACGTATACTATTACTAAATTTTTATTTTTCAAAATTATTAATTGTCATATATATTTTAATCAAATAGATAATTTCAGAGATTTTATTTAAGGAAAAATGAAGAATATTATTCATACATTAATAATTAATTATATAATTCATTTAATAAAAGTTATAGTTTATATTTAGTTGAGATTTTTTTAAAATTAAAATTATTTTTGTAATAATACGTATCATAGCGTAAAAGTTGTAACTTCTTGTGATGACATGTATAATTGTAAGGGATATCGTGGTTTTTCAATTGTTTATGAAAAGATTCTGATTGTATTCAATAATTTCTTGTTTTTCGAAATAAATCCAGCAGCTTTATATGTTTTGTACTTTTTCTCTTTTTAATTAACCAGGGGTTTTAAAAATCCGCAATTATTGACATGATTCAACACTTTCAAAGATAATAATATTAATTCTATTTAAAATGACGACTATTGTGGGATTTAAAGCTGTTGACTTAAAGCTATAAAAATGGCTGGGAAAATGGACATATGTCGACCTGACCCATATTGGGATGACGGGCAAGTTAAAAATACAAAACTATAAGAATATAGTATGTAATAAAATAATAAATGGAGACTCAGAGACAGGTGTTGATAAGGGCTCCAAATTTTAGGGAACCTTTCAAGCGACTTAATCCAACTATTCACCCTTAAACACGTATGTACTATCGCATAAAAAATATACGACACGTAATGTACTTACGTTTCTGTAAATAATATTAAAAGAACATATAGTAGTATATTATAAGTTTTCAAATCTTAAAAAGATACACAAGTACTAAATGCTAACCCAGGATTGGGCCTCGAGCGAGTTAAATATTCGTTGGGTTAGCTTTTCTCGTTCATACTAGCTGTAGCTTAGTCATTTGATTACTCGGGACTCGTATGTGTGTAAACCGACTGGTTGTGTTTAACTTGGTTTTTGCGAAAAAAATGAATCTCGTATCCACTAGTTTGGAACTGGTCACGGATCATCCAGGGTTCACTAAAAGAACATACAAGTACTAGTAATACATGACCATATTCAGATTTTGTTGCACTAATGTTTGAAAATACTAAAGTGGAATAGACCTGAGCTTCCTAGCTAGTCAAAAAGGAACATACAAATACGGTAATGGTTTACGAACCGATCTTGTGAGTGGTTTACCTGGCATTTTAATCGTGTTTTAGTGTATATTATATTATTTTTTATTGGGAGATCGAGAAGATAGATCAGTTTAACATTATGAAAAACACGAAAATAAAAAGTTGATCAGTTTTCGAGCTTCTAATAATAGGTGTAATCGGTTTTGGATATATTAGTTGTGTGTATTATATTGAATGGAGATAATGTTATTCTTGTTTAGTTATGTGTATTATATTGAAATGCGTTCGCAACCGTTTTCTATCAATCTTTTTCTGAGAGAACTATTTTGGTGTCAAGAAAGTACACGTTACTTTGTAACAAAGAAAACGATACCCATAAATATGAGATAAGGTTTGAGAATCGAGGTGGAATACAACAGAGAAGCACAATCTCACGTGGAACTTAGGCGTGAAGATCCTCTTCCTTGAAATAGTAAGCCACCTATACAGATTCTTCCTCACTTTCTTACTTTTATTTCAGAAATACATTTGAAAATCTTGTTAAGTGTGTAGCTCTTTCTCTTCACTTTTTACTTTTAATATCGATTGATCAGTGGCTTTAATACGAAAGTAGCATTGATTTGAAACAATTAGTGAGCTTTAAAACGCTTCTATATATCAAGTGTGACGTCTGAGACCATCGGGGTTATCGAGCCAGTCTTTGGACTAAGCATATGAAATCCAAATTGAGAGTGTTTATAACGTTTTGTTTAAACTGAAGCATATGCAAGCCCAATAATTGCTGTGCTAGAAATAACTACTTCATATATTACACTTATGTTTTTTACAACAACTATTATATCACAAAAAATTATATATTACACTTATGTTAAATAACATACTCAGCATGATATAATATCTTTTATTCCGAAAATATAATAGTCGTGTTCGTTTCATTATCGCGGCAGCTGCGACATCACTGAAATATTTTCATTGTTTTATCTTTAATGGTTGCTCTAGAGGAGACGGAGAAATGCAGCGGCTGTTTACTACATGGATTCGGCGAATTCACGTGACGCCGAAAATAACAACGGCTATTTATTTTCATTAACTCTCCTCTGCGTTTCTCCTCTGTATTTAAAAACAGTGATTCCGTTCAATTCTTTTCCTTCTTTCCCTTTAGAAATTGTGACGCTTGTAACTATCGCCGCGTCTCCATAACAAATATGGCTAATGTGTGCTGTATAAAATGATTTCATTACATTTCCAAAGAAGTAAAATTTTAAGTTCGAATGGTTGAGTACATTTTCTGGTTCAGACCTTGTTTCCGGGTTTCTTGAATCTGTCTCCCAGAAAATGTCTTGGCAAGGGTTGAGACATTTTCCGGGTTTCCAGATGGTTAAGTACATTTTCTGGTACATTTTTTATTTTCTGGAATTTGATTGATGCTGTTTGTGCTCGGGTAATTTTATAAATTTGTATAAGATCCATTTTGGATCTATGCTCATTTCATATTCGGTAAATAATACTCTAGGTTCAATATTTTATCGGATACTAATTCAGATCTTGGGGTTGGGATTTAAAGACATGATTAAACCCCGTTCTCCTATTTAAGGTTTTTAATTTATGATTTGACATTCTTTTGTGCCAATCTATCCCGTGAAAGCTCACAACGTTACAACGCATCGACCCTAACCCCTCTTATGAATTGTCAATAACTCTATAATTAGTTTGTTGGTGCACCTCGAAGCCAGGACCTCACTCTTTAACAACTCTTCCATAGGAAAAGTTGTCACCAATTGATCTGTGACAACTTATCTTGTGGAGAGTTGTTAAAATGTGAGGTTTTGGGTTCGAGTAACGCCAAGCGCATCAATAACCTACCAGTGGATGTGGAGTCAGTTCCTCCCACGGTGAAGGGTTAGTGTCGATGCGCTGCAGCGTTGTGAGTTTCCATGGGATGAGTTAATCATAACCTAATAATCATTCAGATTTGAATCATACTAGGAGATAATTCACGATATTCGTGATACAATCCCACAAAACCCGTTCAGACATTTTACAGTTTGGTTCAAATTAGGGCTGCGCAAATAAACCGAACCCGAAAACCGCAACGAAACCGACTTGATAAAAATAAGTCTGAACCGATTGAAACCCAACATAAATACTGAATGGATCTTTTTAATGGTATTTCAAGTTATGGGTATTTTTCGAACCAAATCCAAACCTTAATGGATATCCACATTCAAAATCTCAAAAAGAACTTGTACCAAACATGATTTCATTTCTTAATATATATCCAAAATATTTTAAGATATTATTGAAAATATAAAATAATTATTTTTTTCATGAATGTGGATGGTTGTAGCTGATGGTTGAAGCTTATTTTTTTTTTAAATTTTGGCTTTATTTTTACTGAATAATGTTTCTCACTTCATGAGAACTTGGTTTTTGTTTCATGTCTTCATTTATTTGATTCTCTTTCTATCAGTAACTATGTTTACCTTCCGTTTTATATGAACATGTTTGATGTTTTTTTTTTCGGAATCAATTTTACTTATGTTTCGATTACAAAATATGTATAAATTATGTACTTTAAATTCGAAGAATTGACTGTACTTATGTTTTGGTTACAAAGTAAGTACAAATCATCTATTTTAAACCAAAGAGCCGATTGTGACCCAAAACCAAAAATACAATGGGTTATACTGGTTCTTTTAAAATTTACTAATCTCGACCCGAACCAAAAAGAATCCGAACCGAACTTTCATATAACCTGAATGAGACTGATTTTGATAAACTCAAAAAATCAAAATCCGATTGGACCAAACCGAAACTCAATTGGGATCCGGAACACCCATCCTAGTTCAAATTTACAATGTTGTGGCCTAAAAATTCTAAAAAGACACCAGAGTCATTAAAGAAAAGGCTTTGGAAACTATGAGCCCACTTTACAAAGACACGCTTATAAAAGGCCTAATTAAAAGCCCAATAACTAAATGACATCAACCCCGTTTCGTTTCCCTGGGAAAAACATCACATAACCGGATTCAAAGTCTTTCACATTGCTCCTGATCTTCTCTTCTCAACCATCACCGAAACAAAACAAAACAATGCAGTTCTTCGGCGGATCCGAGATAAGTCCATCACCTCCCGTTCCGACAGCGAGTGGAAACAACGCGCACATGATGTACGTGTTCAACCGCAACGGCGTGTGTCTCCTCTACAAAGAGTGGAACCGGCCTCTTCACACGCTCAACCCACAGCAAGACCACAAGCTCATGTTCGGTCTCCTCTTCTCCCTCAAATCCCTAACCGCCAAAATGGATCCCATCAAGTAAAGATTTTTTTTTAAACCCTTTTTTTCCTTAAATCGGATCCGTTGGTGGATCTGATTCGATTTGATCGGATCTAAATGCTGTTTTGGCAGTGCGGATAAGGGGAATCTAGGGGTTCCACAGTTGCCAGGACAAGGATGCTCTTTCCATAGTTTTAGAACCAATACTTACAAGCTTAGCTTCATGGAGACTCCCTCTGGTATTAAGGTCTGCTTTATTTGCTCTTCAAAGTTGTTTTACTTTAACATTCAATTCATAGACTAAGTGGTGGAATAGAGTATCTGGATCCCAAAATGCCATTTATCTTAATGGTGTATGATGGTCAGCTTCAAGGTCGTTAGTTTTAGATCCAATTCATAGATTAAGTTGTAGAATCTCTAGAACCTGGCTGAGTTTGTGTGAGTTTGGACGAATAGAGGAGCTGTCTCCTTTAAAATTTAATATGATCTTGGTGACTGACTACCTAGAGAAAGAGGAAGTCTTTTAAGGAGATTATGTGTCCAAGTGTATGAAAATTGAAAACTAGCTGAACTGGTTTATATCTCTATAGAGTGATATGTTTGAAACGAGCTTGAGGTGATGGTTAACGGGTGGTCATATTAAATTGTGGATCACATGGTACGCTAAGGTTAGTTGAAAAAGTGTGCATTAGGGTGTACTCTAGTCGCAAATGGGGTTTAGTAAGTTGTTTTCCAGAGAAAACTAGCTGAGCTGGTTAATGTCTCTAATAGAGACTGATATATTTGAACATGCTCGAGGAGTTGGTTAACAGATGGTACGTATTATAGATTGTGGATCGTCTTTTAAACTAAGGTTAGCATTAGGGTCTAGTCGCAAATGTGATTTGAAGACTTATTGTTTGGTTACTTCTTTCCATTGCGCATGACATAACCTAGATGATTCGTACGGTCTTGGTCATTTTCTGTTCTGATAACAGACATCTAAGTAGAAGCTGACCTCGTCTGCTTTGATTCATTTATATGGGAATACATACATATAGATGGACTCTTCAATATGAAATATTTGCTCCAAGCAACAAACTTTTCTTGCGGGTCAAGATTGAAGATTCTAGAGTTGTTTTGACCACAATACTCAATAGAGATCTAGATGCTTAAACCACTACATGTTTCTACTTTCTATTCTTTTGCAGATTATCTTGGTAACTCATCCAAAGACTGGAGATTTACGCGAATCCCTTAAGTACATCTACGGTTTATACGTTGAGTATGTGGTAAAAAATCCTATCTACACCCCAGGATCTCCAATCAAGTAAGCTTTCCATTGAATAATAACGTCTTATTGCATCGTGTCAGCAAATCTTAAGTCCTGACTATGTTTCATTGGTCTTTAAGGTCAGAGATGTTCAACACTGCACTCGACCAGTATGTGAGGAGCATCTCATAGTGTGTGCATTACAAGATTTGGCAATTGGAACTTATCTGCTTCACAGAACTGTCTTTTCAACAATCTATAGAGAAGAGAGGATTGTAGTAAAACGGTCAATCTCGATTCTCGAGTACACTGCTTTCATCTGCAAATATATGTTTTGTTCTCCTTTTTAAATCAATGTATTGGTTTGTTTTTTTTTTTTCTTTGGTAAGCTACTGTATTGGCTTGTTTTCAAAGATGTTTATGGTTAACGCATATCTTGAGATGCCATATGAGCAAGAAACCGTAATTTGAATATTTTATGTAACTTAAAAGCAAAATATAACCTCATGAGTACGTCATGACATCGGTTTAAAGTTTAAATACCTAACTTTAACTATTGAACGATTAATTTATTCTGATGAAAGAATATATTTTATATTTATAGAAGATTATAATATTCATTTCCTTAATGGCAAAACAAATGCACTTGGAGGAGTTGGGGATGTAATGGATTTGGCACAACACTACATGTTAGGTGATCGTCTATGCATTAAACCCTTTTTGTCTTTCTTTTGCTTCCTCTAACTATTTTATTTCTTCAATTTGCAATATGATTATTTTATGGACTCTTTTTCAAAATCAAATGTTAAGTTTGTCATATTTTTGTAAATGTCAATAGTCTATGTCCCCTTCTTTCTCCTGTGTTTTTGTCTTCTCTCACTACTCATAACTATCAAGTCAATGGTGGATATCCTCTCTAATACCTAAAAAAACAAGTGAGCCCTGAAAAAAGGATAATCATATATTATTCTAATCAACTTTTGTGACTACCCTAAGGATCGCTATACCAATCCCATCTTCACTTGATTGATGTGTTTCTCAATTTTCATTTTCATCTCTCAAATTAAGAGCATCTAGCTTTCACTTTTCTATATGTTATACCATATGTATGTCTATATTCAAATTTGGCGAAACAACTAATGAACGGACAACAATATTTGCAAAACCGCAAAAAGGGGTTTAGCTTGTAGGTGTGCGTGTTCTTATTACTGCCAAGGTTGAACTTACCCGTGACTTTGCTCATATGCACCTAAACATTTTTAGCTTATATATTAAAAAGAAAGTGATTGATTTCATTCTAGCCACAGACCACATATTTCATGATTCTCTCATGTAAGTTTAGCACATTTGATGAAAAGTATCACATCAAAAAAAAACAAACGTCTAGAATTTTAGAGATTAGGGATTTATAGAATAGGCTCTGGCTCACACATGCAAGACAGGTCCTCGACACAACCCAAAAACAATAGTTGAACTAATGTATATAACTTTGTGGTCTTCAAATTGTACAAAATCAATCAATAAAAACTGTTAAAATCTCTAAATATGTAGATCAAATCTAAAAACATAACTTACTCTTTTATAATATATACTCCCTCTGTTTCATTAAGTTATATATTCTAACAAAAAAAATGGTTTCACAATGATTCAATTTTTGTATTTCCAATGCATGTTTTATCAAATAATAATGATTAATTGAAAACTTCAAAAACTTAATTTCACTTATTGAATTTTTATTTGTTTAAAATTATGGGAGAAAAAATCACAAAATTTATGCATTTGTTAGATATTTTATTAATATGTGTGAAAAAAATTAGAATATGTATTATATTGAAACAGAAAGTATAAAATATCGTAGAAAGAAATGTATTGAAAGCCGTTCTGTTTAAATCTTCTCGGTATGAACATGTGAGTTTCGGTCTCATAAAAGTTTTTGTTGTCATAACGTATGGTTAACATCTCACAAGAAATACCGTTTTATTACTTTTCAGAAGAAAAAAAAATCCAAGAATAAACGACGACGATACAACTCAAAAAACAATATAGGGCCAAGAAAAACAACCATGTGAACCTCCGATTTAAATATATAAAACTTTTTACTGTGCATATTCCAGATAATTACTTAAAAACATGCCATTTATATTCTTGAGTGAACTGGAACACAGCCATCTTATCCACCGAACGAGAAATGAATTTTCCGTTCGACATGCACCGGACCTTTAACTATTAACCAATCACAAACCGAAACAAACTCGTGAACAACTTTTACTTTCCTCAAAAGAAAAAAATCTAACGCTTGTTTCTCTCGTGAACGTACATGCATATTTGACGTTTTTGTTTATGCCAAAAGCATATTTGACGTTTCTATTCTCTTCATTAGAAATAAAGTATATTTACAAGAAACTGGTCGTTATTCGAGTTAAGATAGGACAATATGCGCAAAGTCATCAACTTTTACATATGATCGAAAATATATATCCCATCAATGTTATAGATGACAGAGAAACCAATTGCTGCATCATGGCCCTTATTATACTTCTTGATTTTTATGTGCAAAGTTATATACTTATCTTGTTGTCAAAAAAAGTTATACATATTTTATCATACACTCACGAGTTTTTGTTGGGTTTAAATCATACTCACGAGCTTTAAATATAAAGAATTACATTGATAAATTATATTTTGAATAGCAAAATACTTTTCCATTTTAACTTTTTTATTTTCTGTTGATGTTTTTGTTATGGAATATTGGGAAAGCAATAAATAAATATTTAAATACTAACACACGAAATTATGAATAACATACGTACAAAATGGATTACACCAACCAAACTTTTGTAATTATATTATTTCAAACTATTTAATTTGCTTTCTTGATTTTCGTTCTAACAATTATTTTTTTATACACATCAAAATCAGAAAAGCTAGAAAGACACAGAAAAAAGGAAAATCTAGTATTAATAAAAGTGTTAGATTCTCCCACGCGTGGATCAGAAATCAACAAACGGATTGTTTCCAGAGCACTCGTGCGGTAACGGTAACGGCGGCGTTCTCAGTTTCTCGAAATATTCCTTTACACCAAACCCACTCCCCGTCACGTTTTCCGTCATTTCTCCGTCATCTCTCAACGGAATAAACGGAGGCCTCAACACCTCCGTCAACAGGTCCCATTTCACTCCCCTGAAGAATGCGTGCTCCTTTATCTCCGCCGCGCCACGCCGGAAACCTAACCGCCTCGTCGGATCTTTCACAAGCAACCGTCGGATCAAATCCGTTAGATCCGACGGTTTTCCGGCGAATTCGGGTTCCTTCATCAGCACGTTACGAAACGTCTCCTTCTTGCTTCTCCCCTTGAACGGTGTCGCTCCGTACATCATCTCGTACGCCAGGACTCCGAGAGCCCACCAATCGACGGCGAAATCGTGTCCGTCGCCGCGAATTACCTCCGGCGAGATGTACTCGTCGGTTCCGACGAAGGAATTCGACCGTTCTCCGGCGGAAAAACTCATTCTCCGTCGGGTAATCGGGTTGACCCGAGCGGATTTCGTCTTCTTCGTCTTCTGGCGGAAAAATCTTTTACGAGTCGGATCCGGTTCCGGGTCGGATAGATAGAATTCGGGTCGGGTGGGTTTATTGAGGCTGCAGGAGAGGTCGAAGTCAGTTAAAGTCACGTGACCTGATTCCTGAAGGAGGATGTTCTCAGGTTTCAAGTCTCTGTAAGCGATCCCCATGGAATGGAGGTGGTCAAGCGCACAGAGGATCTCAGCTAAGTAGAATTTAATAACAGCTGAGCTGAAAACGCCGTCGTTTTGGCGGTGACGGAGGACGTTAAGATCGCCGCCGGAGCAGTAAGGGATGGCCCAAGCAAAGAAGTCAGAGGACTCCGAGGTGGCTAGGAGACGCGGGAGAAACGGGTTCGGTTCGTCGGAGAGACGTCGGAGAATCTGAGTTTCCCATTTGGCACGGCGGAGAGAAGAGGCGGAGGATTTTTTGACGAGTTTCAGAGCGAAGGGAGAAGAAGCAGAGGAGTCGTGGACGAGGAAAACGGTTCCGGTGGCGCCTTTGCCGAGAAGTTTAAGAGCTCTGATATTGTCGAGATCAAGATTCGGAGCTGACGATGTCTCCATTGAGAGAAGAGAGAGGGAGTTATGTTGTGAAAGGAAGGAGACGAAGTGGGTCTGAAACGTTGAGGTTGTGTCTCCTGTGTGTCCATGCTCTTTATATATAAAATAATAATTTCCTTTGTTTTGCTTTATTTTTTTTTCTTTTTTTCTTTGCACTATGCAATATTTATTAATTTAATATTGTAAATGTTTGTTTGGACTACCTATTGTAATTTTTATTTTGATAAATCCTATTGTAATTTTTGTTGTTGTTTCTGAATGCTGTAATTGTTATTCCTTTTTTCCTTTACTGAACTATCGTACAAGTTTGAAACAAATCAATTCGCAGCAAGGGTAGAAAGACAAACGTTAAGATTTTGATTTCTGATGATTAAAGTTACTCAAACAAATTATTCAGATAATGAATTGCAAATTTTTGCTACATTGAAAACATCATCTCCGGCTCTAGTTTTTTTTTTTTTTTTTTTGCTAAGACAGATCAAAAAGTTTAAATCAATTCATGATAAATAATATTGGGGATATAAAATCAATGAAAACAAAATATGATAATAGTTGTAAACGACTATTTTGTGCAAATTTATCCGTAAAAAAAATTGTAATGCTTGTTCCAGCTATGATGATAACAGATAATTTTCGAAATTTTAATTAGTTTTCCTTTTATGTATGTTTTTAATACATACTGTAGTTTCTCCCCACGCCCACGATGGAAAAGTGTAATGATCAGTAATTCGCTTCTTTTTATTTGTTATACTCCCTCCGTTCCACAATATAGGATGTTTTATCCAAAGCACAAGAATTAAGAAACTTAACTTTTTAAAAGATAACATCATTTATAGTATAAATTTAAAATAAATAAACCAATCATAAATAATAGACTAAAATACTATTGGTCAACCGGTTTTCTATAAAGTTAAAGTACCTTAAAAATATCAAAACATCTTATATTTTGAAACATCAATTTTCTCTAGAACATCTTATATTATGGAACGGAGGGAGTATCTCTTATAGAGATTAATACCATGAAATGGAACACGTGCGGTATCATAATGCGATAGAGAGCAATGTATCGACAAGCCAAGCTGGATAGTCGCAACCACCACATTCATATTTTTTGAGCTGCATTAATTCTTTGTAAACCTTCAAAGTGTCACTCTCTTGCAATTATTAACCTACTTACATAATTTTTTTTTTTGAGAAACCTACTTACATAATTTTGTGTGATTATTTGAAGTATTGGTTAATATATTTGCTATATACATCATGTCCTAAGACCATCTCTAATGGTTTACACTATTTTTCACTCTAAAATAAAACCACTCTATAATAGAGTTGGAGTTTACTCCAATGGTACTCTATTTTAGAGTAAAAAATAGAGTGAAGAATAAAAAAAAAATCAAATTACTCTATATTTGGAGTAAACATATTTTTCACTCTATTATATAGTGAGATATAGAGTACAATTGAAACACTTTTACTCTAGAACTCTATTTTAGAGTGAAAAATAAAGTGGGATTGAATGTCCTAATGAGTGTTTTAACTAACTTTCATATAAAGAGTGAGTTGTCTTCTTTTCTGTTACATACTTGGTAATAAAGTGTTATCTATATTATACATGTTGGTTGATGTACATTTTATAAATCACATGTAATTGACTACATAGGTGATTTATTAGAAAATTTAATTTCTAGCTAAATAGATAGACCTAACCTAACTAAGTTCTAACTAACAATCCTGTATATTTAGAAAAGCTTTTATGATCGATGATGGTGTAGGTATATGCGGTACTTACTTAATCAATACATGCTAGCTTTAGAAGGAAACTATTGTCTCTCAAACATAAATTCAAGTTTATATGTGAAAATGTGTACATAGCTCGACTGAAACAAGGCACTAGAAGAATCAGTGACCGACCTTTCGATACATGTTAAGCCATACGTAGTTTTCTGTACTTTGAGGATTATATGTTTTTAAAGATTGTTTAGCAGCCATGGCCGAAAAATCAAATGATAATTTTCTTGGGATTTTTAGTTGGAAGGTTTTGTATTTTGCAAATTATAAGAGGTAACTTTCACAGGTCTCAGTTAATTTTTGAACTTTTGATGGCAAATAAAGTATACACGGTCAGATACTTTTATGACTTGTAACTTCAAGTCCTTTATATTTATAGTCTTATAGAAATTTGTTATCCTCCTTGTAAATGCAAGTATCTGACTTTACTTTTTTCTTTAACTTGAACTTTTCATAAATAAGAAATATATATATATACATATATTATTGAATAGATATTAATTTCAAATAGTTATGAAACTTGCCCAAATATCTTCTAACTGATTTTTTTGGATGTTTCTTAGTTATTTCATTGTTACAAAATTCATTTGACACACTCCGCATTAGACATGCTTTAATAGTTAGCCAGTAAAACTCGAAAGGGAAAATTTCATAACTACCACTTTCACACTACCACTTTTCAAATATACCACAATTTAATTACACTTTTCAAATATACCATTTTTATTTAGTGACAAATTACAAAACTAACCCTAGCTACTTTCTATTCTATCGTTGTTTTCGTTTTAGGATGATAGAGGAGAGGCTGAGGTGGAGGAGATGCGGCGGAAGAGGATCTGGTTTGATCGGAGAGTTCGTCGGCGGTGGGGATGAGGGATTAGGGGGAGGAGCGAGAGACAGTGTGAGAAGCGAGACTACAACCCTAAATTTCACCGATCATGTTGCCGGGATTGAGATCGATCTTTGCTCAGGTTTGCCGAGAATCCAATCATCGTGTATTACTATTCCTCCGCCTCTCCTCCCCACCTTACGACTACTCTCCTTCCTCCTCCTTCTCCACCGAGCCTTCTCCTGATATCAGCCCCTTGAAACGCTCCTCCCCTGTTTCAGACGAATCCGATCAGCCCAAACGCAGGAGAATCTCCCTCCAGGACCCAATCTTTATCACGTCTCCTCTCAGCTTCATTTACCCTGAAACTCAACCTTCCTCCATCGACGACCCGACCCACGCAAGCCCTGTTCCGGAGAAAGAAACGTCACCGTTTGCTTCAAAGAGTCTTGAAACAGAGGATAGTTTGTTATATAATACAGAAATGTTTACTCTCTTCTGGACCTGGTACTATTAACTAGTAATAAAGAATCTTTTGTTGTTTACTAGAGGATGAAAATGGTCAATAATCACATCGAGGAGATCAATCACGACGAGACTAAGTATGATACTTATGATGAGATCAACCGAGAAGAGACTAACTATGATGATGCTTATGAGGTTTTGATTTATTCTTACGCTTAGCATTTTGTTTATTTTCATGGTTAGTAATTCACTTCATTGCAGACGCAGCAAGATGAGGAGGAGGAGGAGGAGGAAGAAGATTGTGGAGAAGGGATGAGGATAGAGAGATCTGGAGATGGGTTTGTAATTAGGTTGAAGTGTAGATGCAAGCTAGCTTATAGGGTTCTCTTCTCTGATCATCACCTCTACTTCAAGTCCCTCTAAACCTTTCACTTGTGTGTCATTTAGTTAGTATAGTAGGTTTGCTGATGTTGTCGATTATGATTTTGCAGGATAGATACCGGCTCAGTGAACTACTACCATGTGAATGATGTGATCCTTGTGCTGGAGCAGCTCAAGTTATGCGGTAGTTTCTATATTGGCGTAACAAGTGCAATTAAAAAACACTGGAATATCACTGTTAGGACTATAGCCAGCCCCGGCCTTCTCAGGAGCTTCTTGCCAGGGATCTTAATGGCCTTGAGTGGCGTTTACGCCACATTTATCGAGGTAAACTTGCTGCATTGTGTTGCCTTCTGGTTAGTAGTTGAAATGTTTATAATGGTTTTGAGTGTCTTGTAGGACAACCTAGGAGGCATTTGCTGACTACCGGTGGAGTGCGTTTGTGAACAAGAAGAAGCTTGTCTCTGGAGATGCTGTTCTTTTCCTCAGGTAATAAGAAAACTTTGGCTTTTATTGTTAAGAGGGTCTGTGATATAGTGTCTTTAATTTAGAGGTGATGATGGCAAGCTGCGTTTGGGAGTTAGAAGAGCTGCTCAATTTAAAGGCGCTTCTGCTTTCTCGATTCAGTATAATCATAATATGAATCACAACAGCTTCGCTGAAGTAGCTCATGCCATATCTAACAATACCGCGTTCAACATTTACTACAACCCCAAGTAAGCTCCTGCATTTTTAGTTACATTTTCAGGATCACAATCAGCCTTAGTTATGTATTGTTCTTGTTGTTTGCCTCCTTGAAGTTATTACAATCCAAACTCAGTAATATATGATTTTTGCACTTATACTTGTCTAATGAAATTACTATTTGGTAAAACGGTAAAACCTTTTGCAGGGCAAGCTGGTCAAACTTCATAGTCCCTGCACCCAAGTTCTTGAAGATTGTTGACTATCCATTTTGTATTGGTATGAGATTCAAAGCGAGAGTTGAGTCTGAAGATGCCTCTGAGAGAAGGTTATAGCTTATGTTTCAAGAGAACTTAACTACACCTGTGTTTGTTATGTGCTCATCTCTCTAAAATGTTTTGTTTTACCTGTTTTTGTCAGATCCCCTGGGATTATAACTGGAATCAGCGACTTGGATCCTATCAGGTGGCCTGGTTCTAAATGGAAATGCCTTTTGGTAAGCTATGATATATATAATGTCACTTGGTTTGGTTTGAGAGATGACCAAAAGGAATGTTGCTTGTGTCATATAACTGAAACTATGTTTGACTTCATATTCAGGTAAGGTGGGACGACAAGGAGGCAAACAGGCATCATCAGCGCGTCTCACCTTGGGAGATTGAACCATCTGGTTCAGTCTCCAATTGAGGCAGCTTCATAACAACAGGTCCTAAAAGAAGCAGGATTGGCTTTACTGACATTCCTGTCTCTGGTAATACACATCTCAGTTCTAACAGCTTAAATAATCTTCTCTAGCCTCTTCTTTAACACTTTCATTTGTTTCTGGATTCTGTTTCAGAGGGGATCCACGCCACAGACTTTGAGGAATCACTAAGATTCCAGAGGGTCTTGCAAGGTCAAGAAAAATTTATGAGAAGAGGCTCTGGGGAAGGTTCTCGTCCTCTGAACTCCACAAACACCTGCTCAATATAACGTCACCACAACATTTGAGTAACCGGCTTGTATATATATACACAAGTACAATGAGGAAGTTTTACTTGAAGAAGAACCTCCACCAATATTTGGATTATTGTTTACAGTGTTTCTTTGTTTCAGTTTATAAAACTAACAAGAGTTTTACAAGTCCAAACTCGGGTGGAGCTAGATTCAAATGATTTACAAAGCTTTATAAATTAGTTTATGAATATTAATAATTAACCTATAGAATCGAGTAGATATTTTATAAAGTGTTATAAATTAATTTATAAACCTTTATGAATTAATTTATACACTCTTGTAAATTAAAATAAAATCTCTTATAAATTAGTTTATAAGGCTTATGAAGCCATTTGTAAGGTTTATATACCATTTTTAGAATTTTATAAACTATTTATAAGATTTTATAAATCATTTAAAGGTTAACTAAATCATTTATAAGGGTTAATAAAATCATTTATATGAATTAAAAATCGTATTAATCATAACTCCACTTTATTTATAAGAGTTTATAAATTAATTTTAAGAGTTTACAATAAAATTATAAGGGTTTATAAATCAACTTATAAGAGTTTATAAATCATTTTGTAAGAGTTTATATAATCATTTTAAGAGTTGTAAGAATATAGAAAAATTATAAGGACGTACAAAACCATTCAATTGCATAAAATAGTTGAAAAGCATCATGGAAATATGTTTAATAGTAAGAATTTATAAATAATTTTTGTAAGATTTATAAGAAGAGTTTTGAGGATTAATAAATTATTTATAAAAGTTTATAAATTACTTATAACATTTGTAAATTATTAATTGTTCATTAAAATTAATAAAGGTTCTATAAAGGTTTGTTAAATGTTTATAAGGCTTATGAAGCCATTTGTAAGAGTGATCAACAGAATCACGAGAGTGATCAACAGAATCACGAGAGTGATGAACATAATTTTAATAATGAATAAAAATGAATTTATAAAGATTTATAAATCAATTTATAAAGATTTATAAATCAATTTATAAAGATTTATAAAGTTTATAAGGGTTTATAAAAACAGTTTATAAAGTTTATACATAAATGATTATAAAAAAATATAAGGATATGTTAAATTATTTATAAGAGTCTATAAACCATTTATAAAGGCTTATAAAACAAGTTAAAAAATATATAAACCATTTATAAATGTTTATAAATTATTTATAAGTGTCTATAAACCATTTATAAAGGCTTATAAAACAAGTTATAAAATCTATAAACCATTTATAAATAATTTATAAAGGTTTATAAAACATTTGCAAGAGTTAATATTATATATATAAGCTTATATATATCATTTATAAAGGTTAATAAGGATTCATGAACAATTTTACAATACAATAGAACCAACCATTTGCTTCCGAATATTCTTCAACTTTGCCTGCATTTTCCATCAACTTTCCATTTTATTAACATTTACAAGTCATTCACAAACTATGTATTCAATCTAGTAACAAGCGAAATTTTAGATCTTCAAGTGCTCAAAGTCACCGGACATGCCCATAGACAGTTCAAATTGCTCCTCGGACATTCCAAGTGCCTTGCAGACCTCAGCTCGACAGTTTGTAAGTGTCTGTTTCAGATTATGGGAGGAAAAGAACAAAGCTTTGGTAAGCAAATTTATGGAGAAAAAAGAAGAAGTTTGTACGTTGCGGTCGTTGAACAAGGATTCCATAGAGATTGAGAAAGAAGCATTCAACAGAGTAGATGAAGAGCATACCCTGAAGTTCTCTGGACTAGAAGTATAGTCAGACATCCCAATAGTCATTAAACCAGAGAACACCAGATTCGGACAGTGCATATTCACGTGTCTTGCTAGCTCCACAACACTAGAAGGTTCTACTCCAGATTTAGCTGCAACGATTTTCAGAAACACACAGTTTAGCCACTGTATGAAGAAGCTGGAGAAAAGAAACGAAAGCTCAGTGGATGGATATATACTGTTGATCGGTTTGAGCTGCCACACATAGGATCGCTTTGAGATGCTTTCGTCTCAACTCAGAAGCTCATAGACAAGAACCAGTTACTGGACAGCTTTGACAAGTTGAATTAGTGATAAACTGATGAACTTTATGGTCTCGGATTTCATTTATCTGAAATTTTAAGAAACATGGGTACTAACATGGAAATAAAGTGATGAATTTTTGTTTCCCAGTTAAAAAAAAGAACATGGAAATAAAGTGATGAATTTTTGTTTCCCAGTTAAAAAAAAAGAACATGGAAATAATTGGAGAGAAAATATCTGTTTTGTTAAAACAGAAACAGGTTTGAGTTCCTAAACATTTTTCTTTTCGGGATGAAGAGGCAGGTTTTTGGAAGGAAAACTTACTGTCGCAGGCTCATTTGACAACAGATTTGCAGCATATGCTGCAGTCACATGCAGTCCTTCTACATCATCAGTTCCATCTTCAGTCAGGTCCACAACATCAAACCCTGCATAAATTACAGTAGCAATTCATCAAACTTTTTTTTCACACAAAATACTCACTGTTCAGAGTTGATATTCGAGCAAGAGTCTGATGATTAACTTTTGCCTAGAGATTCCCATTATTGAGAAAGAAAAATAGAAGGATTCTTTTGTATAGTTGTGGAGCCAAATGAACGATGTGTTGGCTAATACTCTCGAACGCAAGCTAAGAGGAGCTTTAAACAATGCAAGAGTTCGATCTACCATCTCTCAACTTCTTTATAGATACGTTGTTGAAGAGAAGGCATTGTTTTCTTTTTGATTCTTTCAGTAGATTAATGTTTGACATAGTTTTAATATATTCAATAAACATTAGTCTGTGGTAATATATTGTAAACTACCAACAGCTAATTGGTAAACTTGTTGGTAATATGTCGTATGTATATAGTATATCCTGCAGCTTCTTGTCCAGTCATAGCATCGATGACTAACAACACTTGTGTGAGGTTCAGAACTTTCTTCACATCCTTTAATTCTCAAATCGCCTAAACTACTTTAAAATCTTTACTAGATATCTTATCAAATCACCTAAATATCTTTATTTGTGTTTTAAAAATTTCATCAAAATCACTCAAATAACTTCAAAACTCACCTAAAACAAGAGATCCAATCCACCTCGTCATCAGCCACTTCAGACTCAATCAGAGCAAGTACTCTCAGCTTTCTGAAACAAACCAATAAAAAATGTAAAGCTTTACTTTTCAAAACGAATCGCTAAGAGTAAAGAGAGATCTATAGAAAGTTAACCTGCACTTGTTGGCAACAAGAGCGATACCACTAGTCCCAAAACCTTCACAACAAAGCAAGACAAGCTCCTTGAAACCAGGAAACGACTCAGCGAGAAGAGCCAAGTCATCATCAGTTACAAACATCCGTTTCAAACAAACATTCTCAAGCTAAGGATAAGCCTTTGCTGCTTCAACAACCCAAGGCGTGAACTTCGCTCCCCATTCACGTAACGAACACAAGCAACTCAAAAACGCTGCAGTGAATACATAAATCTACATGCTACTAGTTATGCAATCAATATTATTAGCTATGTTAGTGTCCATTAAATCTATCAACAGATCTTAACAATGACGCAGCTGGCAAACACAAGAATTCACCAAATCAACAAGAGAACATCGAAGACAAAAAGAACTTTAAATTGATTCAAAACATTATTCCAGATTCAAACTGGAGATAAATTGATGCAATCAATCGAAAGAATAACCGATTTGAATTACGTAAGGAAGAGGTCGTACAGGGAGATTCGAGGAGGAAGAAGAAGACGACGGCGAAACGAATCATCTGGAAATAGGTGCATGACGCCGCGAGTCTCCCCGAATCTAGGGTTCCCCGAGGAAAAATAAACAGTCTGACTCATCGCGGAGAGAGACGATTCGCCGGAAAGACTTGCCGGAGATGGCCGAGTTCGCCGGAGTTGCGGGTGATATCATCAGAGGAGATTTGTAAAAGAATAGATACAAATGAATTGAGGGGTAAAAAAGTATTTTGCCTATCAAAATTTTGAGTGTAAAGTTGATTAATGTAAAAGTGAAATAGTGTATCATCAAAGTGGTAGTTTTAGCAATTTCCCAACTCGAAAATCTACTTGGATTAGCATCAGTGGTTAAAAACTCTAAATCTAATATAGCTTTCTCAATTACATTTAATTAGGTGATATATGTACTCTGCCAACTTAAATAACCCTCCAGGCATAGAGATGCACACAAAATAAATCTATATCACGAGATTTCATTTTCAGGTGTTTGCTTGTAAAATCTAACAAGGGCATATTTGTTACACGTACTAGAGCTAAGTTAGTTGTATATTATATCCATAGATCCAAAAAGATCAAAATAATATCGTAAATCTAGAGAAAGAAAATGGTTACAAGATCCAAAGAGATCTAAAGAAAACCAAGAAATTAGAAGATGGAAACTTCCTAGTACGCAAGATTGCCTCCTTCCGTACATAATATTAATCAACGAATATGTCCACGAGACATGCAAGATTCTCTTGTTCTTATCCCCCCTCATAATTAACATCTCTTCTTAATTATTATTATGTTCTCAAGTTGATTTATAAATCTCTATATTGGTTTCTTAATATCTTTCGTTTTATATAGTAGATGTTAGGGAGAAGGAGCGTTGGGGCACGTGGGCTGTTACCGGACGTACCATACAAATACAAATGATGTGCTCTTTGAATAATTGAGAGAGGTTAATAAAAATTGTAAAAGAGTTGTAACTTTAGGGCACATTTTTGTGCTTTTGCCACTAGTATTTCTCACCTTTTTCTTTCGCCTCATATTCAATTATGAAACATAATTACCCCCACACACTAAAAGTTTGTTTTCATTTAGATTGGATCTGTAGAATTATTTGGAGCGGTTAAAAAAATTTATTGATGAATTCTGAAATGAGTTTGCAAGCCACCTAGTTACAAAAGAAAAAAAAATTAAACAAGACATTCTTAGAGCATTTCCAATCCAAAATTTTATTTATAGGGAGTAAAACTTCAAAATGAAAATTTGAAGTTTGATTACTTTATCCAAAAATCTTCAAAAAAATCTATAAAATTTATTCATTTGTATTATAGTCTTCGACATTAATAAAAGTTACTAATAGTAATAAAAATTCACAAATACATATAAAATATATTTTTAATATATTATACAACACATGATATTACACTATTATATAATAAAATAGTAGAAATTTCATATATAATAAAATAACACACATATACACAAATTTTAGAAAATTAAATATAAAATATCAAATTTCTATTAAAATTTCAAATTACATAGAAAATTAAATATAAAATACCAAATTTTAGAAAACAACAACATACACACAAATGTGAACTTTGTTTAATGTATTTTCTTATTTTGGTGAATTTTATTTTAATGTTACGTAATATTTATTCTATTTTATCTTATTTTGGTGTACTTAAATTATTCTAAATAAAGTTAGTAGATGTATTTATGAAAAAAGAATTGTAAGGACTAAAAAATGAATAACAATTTTGAGGTTTTGAATAATGAAAACTCAAATTTGAAGTGTCATTATTCAAAACTTCAAAATTTGACTATTTAAGATTGAGTTAGAATGACAAAAACTTCAAAATTTGAGGATCTGAAGTCGGATTAGAAATGTTCTAAAGGGTCGTAATTTTAGAACTAGAAAGATGTCGAGACTCAAGAGAAACAGTTAGAAAATCAAGTTAGAGAGATTTATGTTGTGTTAAATCTATGTTACTACTAGATACATGCCACAGCTCGCTGTTAATCATATGGATTTCCAAGTGATCAGATGTATGTGAATTTTTGAAAACTGATCTCTAATTCTCTCAATAAAAATCTAACATTATGTATAGTCTTTTTCTACAGGAAAATGCATAATGTTTTTCTTATAGGCATATTGTTGATGTATTTCGTTCTAGAAAAACAAATCTCATTACAAAGTCATGATATAATGCAAGTTATCTCTTCAAGATGAAAAATGTGTTAAGGAGTAGTGACTATACCTCTACAAGTCTATATTTCACGAAAATATTTCTTAAGATTTCAGCTGTGTTAAAAAAATAAAAGTTCAGTAGTGTATTTAAGTTCTATAAGACAATTTAAAGTTTCCACCTAAGCTACCAAAAGTAATTTAAAATTAAAAAGTAGATGAAAAGAAAAGCTTTTCGGTCACGGAATGAAAGTAAAAATCAGATAGATTAAAGAGATATATAAAGAGATAATGTCATTATATGAATCACATTCGTCTTCTGCTTCCACCCATATTGTCAAAGTAAGAAAAGAATATACCTTATAAATTTAATTAGCAAGAAGAAAAAAAAGAATTCGATACCATGATGACTCTTGTCGGCCATGATTTCTTCAACAACGATTTACCAAAGAAATATAAAGCATGAAAGATAGCCTGAACTTTATTGCTAACATGAAATATTAATATGGTAATGGCACAATTTAAGGGAGACAACAAAGTGAATAAACACTAAGGTTGTAATGGGAAAGTATGCATAACCCACCCCACAAGCTGTGTAATAGTAATGTGTTTGACGCTGTCTGATTAATCACTACTCACTAGTTACAAAAATAAAATTGTAGTGGATGATGTTTCAACGGACCACATACTTGTCCCTTATTAAACAAGTTGATTCTTAATATAATATAATATTTTTATATTTGAGGGATTATATGATATCGAAAAATTACATCCAAGTAATTCATCAACCCATTTATAACCAATATGTTTCCAGTTGCTAGTCTTTAAACTTAACTAATAAATTTTGATTAGAGGTTAAGCTAGACAAATAATACCAAAATGTGAGATGAGACCTAGAAAATATATGAAAGGTATGCATCAAACCATTATCATTACCAATTAGTTTTCAGTTGAGAGTTTATAAAACAACATTTATTAAGTTTGATTAGAGGGTAAGAGTTGATTTTTGGTTTTTCCTGCAACTTTGCATTTTGCATTTTGCTTTTAGGCTCAAATAAAACCAAAGATGAATAAGCCCACAAAAGTTAATGTGATTCCACTAGGTGGAAGATTTAATGGGCTTAAGAGAAATGTGAACTGAATTCAAGCGTACCTCTAACGTGCGGACAATTTGGGATTTGAATCTACAAGCCCAGTCATGAAAATTGTTGCTCTCCGAAGTTAAAAAAGAAATATATACCAAAAGTGTCCAAAAAGAATTGAGATCACATCCCAAACAAAATAACAACTACTGAGAAATCACGTCTCTCTCAACAAGAACTATTGAGATTAAGTCTCAAAGAAATATGAAATACTGCAACATGAACGCTGTTAAAATACAAATGTAGAATAGTTGATCCTAAAAAGTTGAATAATGAACCACGTAACACTAACCAAAATGACTGGTGTTACACCCAATCTTATAGAAAAGAAAATAACATATGACAATTTTTGAACACATCACCGTTCCGATTCGAGTTGCCATTTGTATATTTATCTAGACCCGTTCACTTACAAAAACTATTTGGACATTCCGTTTTAACTTCTCTGAATATAAGACTTTGATACCATAGCAGCTTTGAAAAACTTGTTACTATTACAAGCGTGTTCTCCATATACAATACAAGATAAATTCAAACTATAGGTATGTTTATCCTTACATAACTACCATAAATCTGATTCTTAATTACATAGGTATCAAATACGAGACGATTCTAGACCTATTCAGAATCTTAATAATTCTTAAAGTTTAATTTGTATTTTTTCTTTTTGTAAAATGTTTTCTTTGTATATGTGCAAAAGAATTGAGTCATATCGAACAAGTGAAGCAATACCAATAACTATAATATAAACTCTATAAATTAATATTTAGTAAATTAATAAATATCATAGCTTAATATTTTTTTTTCAGTTTCGGCTTTTAAGTCACTCTTCTAATTCCTCTTGAAACTATGTCACAAATCGATAAAATATTAAAAATAATAAATTTTTAAAAAATCCTATAAAAATTATGGTCCCATTAAGATTATAAATTAATAATTTATATGCATATATTTTATATATGTACAAACTAACTAGTATATTATCTATTTACATTCCTAATGTAATTAGTTTTATATTTCTTAACACTTAATATTTTTTGATGAAATTTAGTAAAATATATCTAAAACCATATTTAAATTTTATGAGACATACTATATATATATATATATATATATATATATATCATATCAATATAAAATTAATTAATGTATATACACTGAAATTGAATATTTTTTTATTTTAGAAAAATATATTTTAAATAGAAAAATCAAAAAAGAAAGATTTTGTAAATTAATAACTCTATAATTAACAAATAACAAAGTTCCAAATTATTAATTTATAGAGTTTTT